TGATGCGATCGTCTTCTTCCTTCCACGAGTTTCCAACAGTCCCTCCAGCGCTGGTGCTTGTCTCTGATCCAGCGCAGACTCCTCTCTCCTCTGTGTCCCATGGAGTCTGTCCTGCGTGCAGACTCCGGTGTGCGAGCATTCACTTCTACTGAGTCTCTCCTCGCCAGTGATATGGACTGCATATGCGCATCCTCCTGCACGGCCGTTGGGATCTGTGTTCTGCAGCCCGGGGCGAGCGGCGCAGACACAGGTAAGCATGTCATATTTAAACACATTTTTCTTTGAACTGTTTTTGGACCCCCTCACACAAGTGCATCTATAAACTAATTTTCTCTTTAGGCCTCACTCACACAGGCAGCAAGGGGGAGGTAAAAGCAGATGGTTGATCAGATGGTTTTACCACCCCTCGGTCCCTGTTGCAATATCAGCACTTTGGTGGAACAGTGCTGTACACATTGCCAAAAATATTTAACGTCACGTTTGGCAGGTGGTGCCGCTTGCAACGACTGGGACTGCACTGCAACCATGTGGACTTAAGGTAGCGGCACAGTATTGCAATAGGAAATCCCCATTGCTATCAAATACAATTTTTAAAAACTGCATTCCGGAGGCGGCAGCATCACCTCCTGAATGCTCCATCATTTGTTAGCAATACTAACTCACCCACTTTCGTCGATCGACAGAACGGATTTTTGTTTGCGCATGTGGAGTGTTCTTCATATGAAAAAGCCACGAATCCATAAATTTTGGTATGACTGGAAAAACATTTTCCTGCCTCACCCGTCGAGAAAATTCGGCCAGGAGTACAGTAAAAAAAAAACAACTAATTGATTATCGTACAAAAGACCAATCGTAAACGATTTCAGAACGATAATTAATAGGTGTATGGGCACCTTAAAAGGAGAACTATGGGGTTAAGGCTTTTCCCCATGGTTCTCCTTAGGGTAACGGGAGGACACAAACTAGCGTCCTCCTGTCACCCTAGGCTCATTATACCGCGCGCTATAACTCGCGGTATACTGAGACGCCGCAGTATACCACGAGCTACTGCTCGCGGTATACTGAGACGCCGCAGCTGAAGCAGATTCCGACAATTGTGCCGGGATCCGCCCAGCTGCGTGACTGACAGCTGGCTCTGCCTATCTAGAGGCAGAGCCAGCTGTACCCGCCCGTTCCGCCAGTCAGCGCTGGCGGATCGGAGCGGGGAATCCAGCCCCTCCCCTGTCACAGCAGAGAGCCGTGACAGGATCGAGAGGTGAGCGAACGCCGGTTTGTGTTCGCTCACCTCCCGATCTACTGAGCCGACCTGCGACAGTCTCATTGTCACAAGTCGGCTAGAACTATGAGGTGAGTGAAAAGCACTCACCTCATAGTTCTCCTTTAACTCACCAATCAAGAATCATGGGGGTCTTCACCCTGCAGGCTTATTTCCCTATTTGAAAAGAATACGGCTGTGTAGGCAGAACCTGCCTGTGTGACAGGATCAGTGAACGGAGAAACTACAACTGCCACTGCAGCAGAGTGACACGTACTTCTCAATGGAATACAAGTTTGGTGATGTCCGCGCAACTTAAGTCCATTAACATTTACTCTCGTACATGTTACTGAATGTCTGTACCTTGGACAAGGGGAAGAGTCTGCAGGAGCCAGAGTCAGATCCACTGATCGCGGTTGTAATACCTTACTGGCTGCCAAGCAAAATAAATTATAAATGCACATGTTTTTCTTTTAGCAAGTATGCATTTATTTTTCCCCAAAACCTGGAATTTCCCTATTAGGTTTAATAACTTAGGATTGTCCAAATGTACAACACACCGGGACTAATCCCAGCATGACATTCATTAAGTGACAGAACATGCAACATAAATGGAGCTCACTGTTGAAAACAAAACTTTTGAAAACAAATATCAGTAAACTTGTGCATATATTATATAGAGCACATAATGTATATATCAATCCCTGTGTACATACTGAAAGACATAAACAGCCAGGTACACATGGTCACCTACTGTCGCACGTGTGACGTCATCCTGAAAGCGCTGCATTAACCACGTACAGAGTCAGACCCCATTCCAAGCGCTTTGCGGCCAGCCTGCAGATTCAGCGCTATGATACAAGTTACCCGGTACGGCGGGTGCACCGCTCGCCGTTCACACACTCACACTCGGTTCTAAAGTCCGTGAGAGTTCACCGGAGACATTGGAGGCAATAATATCCTAGTCACGTGACGGGGCTGTGCGCCGTGACATTGTACCATGTGACCTCCAGCTGTCAGGAAGGGCCTGCGTTGTGTAATGGCAAGGTGTAGTGTAGAGGTGTGTCAGGACTGACAACTCTACACTACACCTTAAGTAGTATTGTCTCTGCTTTTCTCAATATCAGCAGCAGGGTGTGTACAGAGAGCTATACAAGAGTACCCTTTTATTAAAGGGAAACAGAGGATAGACATGGAAGCTATAGACTGGAGCAGACAAAATCTGGAGCAGTTGCCCATGGCAACCAATCAGCTTCTCTCTTACATTTTCAAATCTTAATTTAACAAACTGAAGAGAGATGCTGATTGGTTGCCACGGGCAACTGCTCCAGTGTTAATAAATTCCCCTAGTGTGTATATGCGATTTATGAGGCCTTAGACCACCGCAGGGAGGGGATAGAGAGAGGATGGAAGGACCGGTTTTAGAAGAAGCCGGCTCAGAGTTTTGGGTAAGTATAACTTTAAAAAAAAAAAACCTAAACACAAAGGAGCACTTAACCCTTGCATTACTAATATTATACAGGATTTATATAGCACCAACAGTCTGCACAGTGCTTTACAATATAAGGAAGACATTACAGTTACAATACAAGAAAAGATGGTTGAGAGGGCCCTGCCCATGAGAGCTGACACTCTAAAAGGAGTGCACGAGGGTAGCCCCACTACAGGGGTTATTAACATTTCCTGGAGTTCTTTAAGCATTGGAAAATGGAAGCTGATTACCATGGGCACTTGCTCCATATTCTATCTGCTCCAGTTTTGGCAAATTCTTCTCAATAGCCGGCAGGGAAGATCCCTCCATCCACGCTGAATCTACTCCACTTCTAATTAGACTCTCCAGGGATCCAAATCTTAGACTTTTATTACCTCTCTATTCAAGGTAAATATCCCTTTGCAGCGGTATGGAAGTCCTATCGCCAGACGGACGGGACATGCAATGCTGGGCGGGTGTTTTTTTTTCTACATTTAGCCCTGCTTCGGACAAGCAGGGCCCAATGTACAGCGGGGAAGCAGCTGCTCGTTATTTACAAGTGATGTCAGCAGCTGTACAGCCATTCAGATCACTTGTAATTAGCCTGCTGATCCGTCCCCTTCTGCTGGCCACCACCTCCATGGTCTCTCTGTACCCCATACTGCCGTCCAGTGCAGCCCTGCTCCATGGGTTTTGAATTTCGCTATTGCGAGCACTCGTTGGTCAGCGAAGTCACCTGACCGCACTGACCAATAAGAAAAGTTTTAGCACGGTTAAATACTATTTTGGTTAAAATTATTTTTTTTATTAGGACAAGTAGATTGGGCCCCCGCTTTAGTCCTTGGACAAGTAGTTTTTAGTTGTTTTTTGTAAATGTCCACACCCCTGCCTTTGGCAGTGCTGCTTCAGTACAATCTACTCCACTTCAACCACTACATTAGTTGTCCCTATCAGAGTTCCCCCTTTCATTAGTAACATGTAAGGGGGTGCTATCATGGGAACACTCTGATGGGGACAACTAATGTAAGGGGGCACTCTGATGGGGACGACAACTAATGTTAGGGGGCACTTTGATGGGTACAACTAATGGAAGGGGGCACTCTGATGGGGAACTCTGTTAGCAGGACAGCTACTGTAAGGGGGCATTGAGAGGACATGAGATTCAGATCTTGAAGCTTAAAGAAAATGTTTAATAGTTAAAACAATCAACTGGGCAGCAGAGTGAGACAGAACAAGCTCTGTACCAGGAGTCACTAAGGCTGCATTCAAATCATATGCGTTAGAGCTGCGCTAGCTGCATTTTCCAGAGCAGAAAACGCAATTTGCCTTGCTAAGAATGGGCCCAGTTCACAATGCCATGTTGCAGTGGTGTGCGCTGTAAGAAAGTTCAGCATGCAGTACATTCTTCAGTAAAGTGAGCTGCAACCCAGGACAACCGCATCACACCGTGCCCATAAAATGTCACTCAATAAACATCTATCAAAAATGAAAACCAAAGATCAGCACTGTGTCTGGGAATGCACACCAGCAGCTGTGCCTTGTAGTGCAGTTGCTGGTGTGAATACAGTTTAAATGGTGGACCACAGTATGGACACAGTCTGAGTAATCATCTTGTGTGGACCGCGTTTTGGACCTCAGCTCAAAGAAAATTTTACTCACCAAACCTTGAATTTTATTTCAATACCCCTGACATACACAAATACAGACTAATTGTTCTGTTGAGTAAAAAAAAGTTTCTCTTTAATAAAAAAACACTTTATTTATATTTAAATATGTATATTTATATGTAAAGAAAACATCAAATTTCTTCAGAAAATATCTTTCTCTTGAGGTAATCTATCCAGGCCTCCTGTGTTCCTAGTTCCATTGAGTTCCATTCATAATTAGGAATCTAAAAGACAAAAACGATAAGGATTAGTCCTGGAACCACATGAATCAGTCCCCATATCTCTGTGCAATGGTAAACTACAAAAACATATGTAAACATTTCAAAATATAACTAAAATGCATCAAAATCTCTTGTAGTATCCATCCATTTCTACATTATGCGAGACTCCTACAAATGTTTGCCAAAGCCTTAACTCTGATAGTATTTAAGGAGAACTATTTAAGGATCACTTCCTGATCTACTGAGCCGACCTGTGACAGTTTCATTGTCACAGGTCGGCTTAGATTATGAGGCTGAGTGAAAATAACTCACCTCATAATTCTCCTTTAAACGCTTAAACTGTTTTTCAATAATGAATCCAGAACAAGTATACATTACCCAGCAAAGTACTTCTTTATATTTTTGTCCAAGCACTTACGGTCATCATGTTTCCAGTTAGCTCCAACTCTTTCAGCTCTCCTTCCCTGAACTTCCTGTCCAGTACAAGATCACAAAGGACAATATAGTCTCCAGCAACTGTACATCTACTAGCTTGGAGGAAAGAGGAGCAGGGAAGTGGTTTGCCTTGCCGTGTCTGTGTGATTGTGTGTGGAGACACACACAGTTTACTAGCACACACAAGGGTGGCTCCAAAATGTGTTGGAATCAATAAATTAATACTGATTTTAAACAAATGCAATTGTGTGCGCCTCTTAAAACCCCAGATGAATTGGTTCTGGTGTTGGTCTATAATAGGGGGTGATGTGCAAATCGAATTGACTGACGGGGGATTTATGTTGGTGTAATCGATGAGAATAATCGCTGGTTGGAGTCCTATATGTAATAGTGGATTCCCCACATGAACATATCAACAATTCCCCACATGAATACATGAACAATTCACGTTGCCCAGTGACATAGACACATCAGCTAAAAAAAACACTGATCATCGGCTCTCATTTTAGAAAGAAATCTCCATGCTGGAGGCACACAGAACTATTAATGCATTGGCTGTGAAGGTTCTCATTCATCCAGGTCATGGTATATGTGTAAAAAATAAGTCAAGGCAACTGGACTGTCTGTATTTTTCTTGAAGACGCTTCACTGGACATCCGACCACCTTTCTCAATTCAGAACTGTTCTGAATTGAGAAAGGTGGTTGGATGACCAGTGAAAACGTCTTCAAGAAAAATACATCAAGTCCAGTTGCCTTGACTTATTTTTTACAGATATTAATGCCTTGTAGAGAGATTGAGCTCTGCCTTGTTCTTATCAAACCCGAGAGCAGTTTTTAGTGGAATTCTGCTAAAATCTACAGATACCCGTCTCCTCTCTAGCAGTGTAACGTCTGTGAGCACTCTCGCCTGCGCAAACATTGTCTCCCTAGGCTTCTGCCGGGTTTGGCATCTTCGGCCATCTTGACTGGTCGTGACGGTATGATGAAACTCCCGTGTATGTACATGGGAGTTAGTTCTTCCCGGTTCTGAGGCATGCTTAGAATGTACACCAAGGTGCAGCTCCCTGTAGATTCTAAAGAAACTTGTTGAAACCTGTGAGCAGGAAGGCAAGACATTTTTCTTGCAGGTAAAAAGGCTTCATGCACAGATTGTTTTTTTAAAAAGCCAAAGTTCTGCTTTAAATCGAGCCAACATCTTTTAGGCTAAAGTGCGTTTACCTAGATCATTTCAGATTTTGTTTACCTGAATTACAGAATATCCGAGGATTTCTAGATGTCTCTTTTTCATAGCAGTCACACTGTTAATATGAGTTGAGTTTCGGCAAAAGTTTGCTGATTGAAGAAAATCCACAGCAACTCTGTGACAATGGTAAAAACATCTGTTTATTACGTGGCAGAAATAAGCTAGAAGATATAATATTTTAATAACCTTTCACGTACCAATTTGAAATAGCTTTAAGGTCTCAGGGAATCCCTGCGAATAATTATTTTATCTACAGCTCAATAGCGTGAACAGTACGTTGTGGATAGAAGAATTAAAAATGAGGAATGTGGCAGACTTGGTGTACTTGACATGAAATGAAACAAATAATAATGTCCAGAAAAGAAATGCAGACCATGAAGATTATAGAGCTCCCTCACACAGGGGGCATTTGTTCACTGACTGCCAAACAATGGTGGACAGTGTAATGCCCCCCTTAGAGTGGTGGTTAGTGTAGTGCCCCACTACATTAGTCGTCAGAGAAAAGCTCCTCTCATAGCTAGGTGGTTAGTTGAGACAACCCCATTTACCCCAATTACACAGAGAAGGGCCTTCTTGTACTGGTGGTCTCTGGGAAGAATACCCCTCACATTGGTAGTCAGTGGGAAGTAAGGCTAGCCACACACATTTCAATTTCTACTGTTTAGCCTGAAAATCCAATAATTCCCTTATTTACGCTAAACAGGAATATCATCTGCCAGCTGTTCACCCGCGACTGCTTGAATACCTGAACCATCACTATGTTTGGTAGGATGCAGTCCCTATTTGGCTAAGAATTTTCATATGCTCAGTCTATTTTTTTTTTTCTAACTCTGTTTATCCAAGATATTTTTTTTAAAAAGTGCATAGATGAAAGTGGTGATTCACACTAACAGCGTTAACCAATAAATAAACAGTAGAGATACACCAAAATTGAATTTTTAGACCAATACCGAAAAAATAAAACATTTACCAGGCCAAAACCGGAAAATTACACGGTTTTTTTTTTCAACTTCCCAAAAATGGCCCAAAATGTGACATTATTTTTAAATTATTTATTTTATTTACTTTATTTACTGTCAGGAGCAGATCGCTGAGTGCTTGTACTCTGCTCTCCAGCCTGACTCGCTGTCACATGAGACTAAGCGAGGCGCTGTGGGAGGAGAGATGACTCCGCACCGCTCGGTATTCTGACTCTCCACCTCTCACAGAGGAGAGCTCGGCTCCTGTTACAGCCGTCTCCTCCCCGCTTGGCCTCCTGAAACTTTCTCTGCTGGACGCCGGTCTCTGTCCCCTCCAATCCTCTCTGCCAACACCAGCAGGGGAGAACTACGGGCATCGGACGGAACACAGACCACCGGAGAGAAGTTGGAATGCACAGAATTTTCAGCCAAGATGTTTCGGCAGCTGAAATTTCGGTGCATCCCTAATAAACAGCAATAAAGTAAAGCAATACAAAAACAAAATGATCATCTCTTATGTCTTTGTTTTGAATAAATTGCCTGCACCTAAGGGACAGATCATATTTCCATATGCCTGAAGCAGGATACCATAGCTTGAAGTGGGAAAGGATGCGGGTTTACCAGAGGGAGAGACTAGAGTATGATTATACCTTTTTACCCTGGACCATATGGATTTGGCTAGCCTTAAAATAGGTAGTTGAACTGTGTACAGGAAATGTGTTGGTGCCCCCAAATATATCAACAATTGGTCTATAGATAATATGGGCAATAAGTAGATGCCTGCAGTTGAGGGAACCCCGGGCGACATCTACACCCAACGATGACTGGCCAAGTACTACAAATACAGGTGAGGCAGGGCCATACCTGTATCAGTTTTAGGTCATTATAATGTAATTGTAACTTCAATTTGCGCCTAGTGTTTGACCATAGAAATGCCATGAGGCATGAATTTAACTCTTTAAAAAAGGATACCATTACTGACATATGTGGCAATACAAACATTTCATCAATAAAATCACTTAATTAGAATAATTCGGCAATACACTTGCCATTCTAGGTCGCATAACTCCCTTTCGCGCATTGACCTTGCCCTAGGCACCTCGGAAATGTTTACCTATGTCAAAATGGTTGACATACACCCGAGGTGCCTTTCGGATCATTCCATGCTCACTGTCCAGCTGTGCCTGGGCACCCGTAGATCCTTGCTCCCTTGGCGCTTGCACCCGTTTTGGCTGACGTTGTTTACTGATCACACAGCATTGGAGAGTGACATTGGGTTTTTCTTGTCTGTGAATATTCCTTCTGCGCCTGTTGGGGTGGTTTGGGATACGCTGAAGGCCTACCTTAGGGGTACCTTCCTTAAGAATGTTAGTGCTGTTAAATCCAAGACTAGGCAGGACCTGATTCTGGCCCGCCAGCTATTTGCTGACAGTGAAAGGGCCTATGTGGCCAATCCTATGACAAGTACAGAGGCTGACTGGCTGACCGCACAAGGCTCTCTAAATACCCTGTTGAAGGAGCAGTCCCAGAATAAACAATTTTTTACCAAGCGGGTCTTCTGGGCAGAGGGGGACGCGACAGGTAAACTCCTGGCTCAGGTAGCTAGAGCCCAACAACCCTCTAGCCATATTGGCGCTATCTCCGACTCTCTGGGGGTTACCCATTCGAGCCAGGGAATGGTGTCCGAGATTTTCCGATCAAATTACGCATCCCTGTATCAAACTAAGGCTAGTTATTCTGACTCCGAGCTTTCGTCCTACCTGCAAAACGTTCCCCTTCCATCCTTGTCACCGGATGACAGCATGGACCTGGAGGCCCCCATTACTCTGGAGGAGCTGGAGGTGGCGCTGGCTAGCTTCCCCAGTGGTAAGGCGCCTGGTCCGGACGGGCTCCCTATTGAGGTATATAAAACTTACACTACTATTCTCCTACCTGCACTTCTGGAGACGTATAATGATGCATTTTCCACTGGCGCACTACCAAACACGATGTATGAGGCCACTATAGTGGTGATCCCAAAAAAGAATAAAAACCCGCTGCTGCCGGAATCATATCGACCTATTTCCCTACTGAACGTCGATATTAAGATCTTGGCCAAAGTGCTTGCAATCAGGCTGTCCCAAAAAATTTCATCAGTGATACATCCGGACCAATCC